CTTAAATAATTTGTGAAGAGGTATGAGGAAAAGGTGGGTGCTGGTTTAGAGAATGCACCTTGAACAGTCACAATTTCAAACATTGTGACTGTTTAAAAAGTAGTTAACAGTTGGTGACTGTTAACTTTGAATTGTGCCTCTTGATCACACCCGATCGAATTGTGACCGTTGATCTCATCAACGGTCATCAACGCACCAAAACCAGAGCCGCCCATCGCGAGCAAAGTGCGCCTCTAAAGCGCCTCATTGCGCCACACACATGTGTGCGCACGCGTTGCGCAGTATCGAATCCCCATACTCTCCTCTACTAATTCTAAGGAGTGTAAATCAGCTCCTATTGAAATACTGAAAACAAACCCTATAATTATCCAATGTGGGACAAGTTCAAAACCGGGTTTTTGTAAGAGAAAAACAGATTTTTAAATCAAGTGTGTAGGTGCAATCCCTCATGTAATTGATCAATCAAACCCATTGGATTTAATCTCTCGTAAGATTAAAATCCAATAATCCCCCACATTGATTGATCAATTACATAGTTCTCTCTCAATCCAAACTACTATGACACAATTATGCATACAAAAGGTGTTTATCAACTTAAACCTCTTGTTAGTATAGTTATCTCAGAGCCTTGTCAAAGTTATTGGTGGTAAGACCTTAAATCAATTACTCTCAAGACAGACCGGATACACCTATACACACAAAAATGTCCAGTCTCTGTAAGAGTTTCGAGTTTTGCTCAGCACTATTATGGCCATGTGCTTCTTTCCTGGTTTCATGAACAATCCCGAGAGCAAACCCAAACCCTCATGAGAAGCGGCACCACTTCTATGTTTACGTAGGTGAAGTTCCACTATGTGCTCCGTTATTTGACACACATTTCAGAACTTCATTAAGAGTTTATCTCAACCTCTCATCATAACGGACAACACTGTTTATGTTGTGATGGGAAATTTCTCAATGTCAGTGCTAACAGTCATATTGCTGTAACTTGTTGTTACCCATTAAACCTAATACTGATGGTTTTCAATTCAGGTTGGGTTACCATTATAGGTGACTAAGTAAAGGGTTTTAATCCCATCTCTTTGGTTGTCATTCTTACCACTTCTTTGGGCAAACCCTTGGTAAGAGGATCAGCCAAGTTTTTACTTGACCTCACATAGGTTATAGTGATGACTCCATCTTGAATCAGTTGTCTAACAAATTCATGTCTCAGACTTATATGTCTGGACTTACCATTGTAAGTACCACTGTAGGCACCACTGTAGGCCCTTGATAGAGTTGCCTCACTATCACAGTAAATGGGAATTGGAGGCATAGGACTAGATCAAAGTTTTATATCCAATAATAAATTCCTAATCCATTCAGCCTCTTTTCCAGCAGCCGCTAAGGCTATGAATTCGGATTCCATGGTCGAGTGAGATATACAAGTTTGTTTTTTGGATGCCCAAGAGATTGCACCCCCACCAAGGACGAAAATCCATCCAGATGTGGACTTGTTATC